CTTGGCTCACTGCAACCTCCGCCTCCCGGGTTCAAGCAATTCTCCTGCCTCAGCCTCCCAAGTAGCTGGGATTACAGGCATGCGCCACCACGCCCAGCTAATTTTGTTTTTATTAGAGACGGGGTTTCCTCATGTTGGTCAGGCTGGTCACGAACTCCCAACCTCAAGTGATCTGCCCGCCTGCCTCGGACTCCCAAAATGCTGGGATTACAGGCATGAGCCACCACGCCTGGCTGGAAGGTTTTATCTATCAGACAGGTAAAAGAAATGACTATAGTCTGTGTTCCAATACATCACTTTTAGTAAACTAACCTGTCTTCCAAAGCAGCAGATTTTGACTGTGACTTGACTTACTAACCCAGTATTGAATATCTTATAACCCTCTTGCTGTTTTTAGTGCCAACTGTGATGACACATATCCATTTACACAACTAATTGAACTAAAAAAACTACTAGGTAACATAGTCGTCACCTCTAAACAACCATCCTTGTCACTCTAGTTTTAATCCATATACCCTTTTTTTTTTTTTTTCTCTTGAGACAGAGTCTTACTCTGTTGCCCAGGCTGGAGTGCAGTGGCACGATCTCAGTTCACTGCAACCTCTGCCTCCCGGGTTCAAGTGATTCTCATGCCTCAGCCTCTCAAGTAGCTAGGATTACAGACACGCCCGCCACCACTCCTGGCTAATTTTTTGTATTTTTTTTTTTCAGTAGAGACAGGGTTTCACCATGTTGGCCAGGCTGGTCTCAAACTCCTGACCTCAAGTGATCCACCCGCCTCCGCCTCCCAAAGTGTTGGCATTACAGGCATGAGTCATGGTGCCCGGCCAATCCATATACATTTGAAAACCCAGAAATTTCTAAATAAAAAACGTTTTAAACTATTCCAAACACTAAGAAACTTCGATTCCCAAGCCAGGCACAGTAATCCCAGCCTCAAATGTAATAGTAGTAATCTCGCTTGTAATCCCAGCACCACGGAAGGCCAAGGTGGGTAGATCACATGAGGCCAGGAGTTCGAGACCAGCCTGGCCAACATGGTGAAACCTGTCTCTACTAAAAATACAAAAAATTAGCCGGGTGTGGAGGCATACATCTGTAATCCCAGCTACTCGGGAAGCTGAGGCATGAGAATCGCTTGAACCAGCAAGGGGGGCGGACAGAGGTTGCAGTAAACCAAGATCAACGTCACTGCACTCCAGCCTGGGCAAGAGTGGGACTCTGTT